ACTTTTGAAATCAAATTCATTTTTTCTCGATTATCTTGACAAAAGAGAGCTTTTTCTAATCGCAAATAGTTGTAGAATGATCTTAGCTTAGAGTTGCGTATGAAAATAGTTATGACAACATGAAAATGCACACGATACCTACAGGGTCTAGTGTCAGATGAGGAGGCAGAAATATAACTTTTAGATTTTAACCTAAATTTGTTTGTGTTTTACACAAATCTAATCAAACCCTTTTTAAAGTATTTATACAGATTCTCGCAATATCCAGAAAGAAATTTTGACTCGATTTTTTCGATTTTTTTTAAACTATTTTACAGTTCTTAGCTACTAATTTTGTTAAATTGTTCATCTTACCAGTTATTATTGTTATTTTTTTCTAATTTACACAACCTTTCGTCTAAATGCAGGGACCTGCAAGTGTTTAACTTCACGAGGCTGTTTCATGGGAGGTACCAGGTAGGTCATTCTCTGAAACATCTGGCAATGAGATACACTTAAATTACTCGTTGTGACCGATTGGTTAGGGTGCTGGACTTGAAATATGGTGGTCCTAGGTTCAAGTCCTCTACCCACCATTTGCTGGATTTGTTCTCGGTCGCCACGAGTTCAACTCCTCAGCTGCGCTGTGTAAATAACCAACTGGTCTGCCCCCTGCCAGTTGGGATTTTCAAGCACTTTATGTTTACTCTAGTCATTATAAAGTAATATTGGATGGCGATAGTAATAGCACTCCATATAAAGAGTGTCTTATTATTATAACTCAGTTTCACCTTAATAATACCGTCAATTTTTATTGCGATTTGTTGTATTGTCCTAGTATTCAATGATAATGAAAGTAAACCACTCTTTCTTTCTTCCACGGAGTGCTAATGTTGAGTTATTCGACAAAACATCATACAGAAACTCAGTCAGTAAAATTCTATTGAATACAAATAAAATCTTACAAAAAAAATATGACGAAAGCAGAGGAGCAATTAAAGTGCAAGACGAAATCTATCGTAGATGTATGTTTTTCTTGAGTAGGTGATGTGTACATATATGCTA